TCCTCGAAAATTGACTTGTTTTGTCTGGGTCGAGAAATGGCCAGCCTGGGTTTGGTTGTGATGAAGGTCACCTTGGTCCCTGATCCTATCGCGTCCTGGTCTTTCTCTTTTGTTCCTTCATGGAATTTTCGGAGACAACAACAGGCCAGCCGGCACATGCAGGTAGGGTGCAGGTGTGCTGGTCTCCTCGTCCACGCCGTCGACGCCATCCACGCCCGTCCCACGGTCACGCATGGGTTTGTGCACCGAAAGTTTGCGGGCTTGACTGATTTGGGCGTAGTCGGTTTCTATTCTTAAAATTAACCTTCTTTGACCTTCTTGGTCTGCTCCACTTCCCTTGGCTACCCTGCTGCCACATCCGACCGAGAAACACCCGGCCCAGCCACTCAGAGGTGAGGAAGCAGAAATCACACTGCTAGCCCTAAAGCCACTCACCATCACCCCCTAATTGTTAGGCCGTCTTACAGCCTGGCTTCCCACTCTCACCCGTCATCAGACGACTTTCCCCAGATCTCTCACTCTCTGCCGACAGACACAGATTCGCAATCTCGGCAGCCAGTGCGCAAAGCCTCAATCCTTTATTTCCGAGAGCTTGTGGTATCCTTTTTTCGAACGACCCATCGACCGCTTTCGGGTTAACAGGCCGCAATGGTCAGAGAGCTCCGATACAACGTTCCACTCCTCATGCCCGCGGCTTCCGCCAACAAACCTCCTTTTCATCATGGCTTGACCAATGTATCTAGACCGTTGTGGCTGACCATACACACAAGCTGCCCGCCTTTGATTATTCAAGTTCCTTTTCCGCCATCTAATCCAAACGTCAGGCTGTACCATGAGAGCAATGGGAAGCCATTTCTTTAGCCTACGCTCTACATACCCAACCTTTTACGCAGTACATTCCCATCGACACTTGCCCACCACCAGATGCACCCCACGACCAAGCCCAATGGTCTTGTCGTGTGTCGTTGGACAAGTGTCAGCAAGGTCACCGAATTGCACCTTCCGTACCTGAGTTCCTACTCCGGATATTGTAAATCCTGGACGCCCGGGGGCGGTGAGCATTCGCACAGCTGTTGTGCAGATGAACGACAGGCACAGATGCGAATCATTCGGTGCATCGAAAAAAATGGCTTCGCAGCAATCGCATGGGTCCTTGCTTCCACCCTACACTACAATGTCGGCTCTGATACCATTCACGGTGTTCACCCGTGCCCCGGTACCTTGCCGCCAATCCTTGAAAGATGCGCGTGTGCAAAGTTTGTTATCGGGGTGAACCGCCTTCAACAACTCCACGTGCGCGCGGATCTCGCGGCTATTCTCACGACTTGCTGCAACATGCCGAGGGCAAACCCTCAAAGGAGCCGGCAAAACCTAGGTCGTCCACTGTCTCCTGCGCCTCAATCTCTATATAAATGTGCTGTTGACCAGGAACTAATTACAGACACATCCCGATCAGGAAACCCTTGGAGAAGTCATCTCCCGCTTGCCGTTGGCATCGTCGCTGGGTTGAGCCACTCGACCACTCGAATAGTGATAGGTGAGGTGACAACTACATTGCTGTCATCACTATCCTTTCCTATTTGGGCTCCGAGATAGTCACTATCGGCACCGAAAACTCTCTTCTTGAACATCACGGGGAACATCATAGCATTTCATCCGACTGAGCATGCATCATTGCCAGGCACAACATAATAGACGGTAGATATACTGTCGCCTCAACCCTTTTCGTCCTTCCAGGCTGTGTCGCTAATAAGTACACAGCATGTTAGCCTCACATAACGAATTTGCACGGGTATTCTATGCATGACACGTACGTCACAGCCATGCGTTTGTGAAACCTCAAAGCGCGGTGAGAGACGGGACGAGATCATCGAGAAGACCAGCTCAAGTCACACGGGGCTGCCTACCTCACCATACATTTCTACACCCGACACAATGGGTATAACTCTCAATGCCTGGAGTATTTCCCCACCCTTCGGCGCCTATCCATCATTATCAAGTGACTCTTCAGGGCAGGCACAGGAGAGATGGAAATACCCCGATGTCTGTTCCCGTTGCCTTGCTATTTTTTCCTGGGATGCGTGGCTGGGTTTTGCAGCAAACATGGTGCGTTTACCAGAAAAGAGATCACAACAGTATCTTCGTGGACACTGAGATTTCCTTCTCTGGATCGAACAGACGCTGTGTCGAGGATTCACTCTTTCCTCTCCTTGTCTGATGATATATCCTGAGAGGGAACATTGTTCGGGCGGTACAGATCCGGTGACGTTTGGCCAGCGTGGTCCCCTGCCCGCTCACTCAAGGGCTTGGGTCACATGCAGATTGCCTCATTCCATGAGCTCCTGTACCGCCGGAGTAGGCCAGGGTGGTCACTTCCCAACCTCGAGCAAACAACCAGCAATCCGTGTGCAAGAATTCAGGGTAGCAGCCAGCAACCAAGGGGATTCTGGTACCTGACAGCTAACTCGACAATGAGGCAAGGCTGACACTTAGCAAAGATATGCAATCATTTGTGCAAGGTCAAAACAGAGAAAAAGTGTCAGGAAATGGAGACAAGTGTTGACAAGACGGCCCGGAATAGGCAAACGTTGCAGCATTAACAACGAACCCTGCCTCCAACACCTTCCTTTCTCTCGGTTGAACGAATTTGTTGGGCCAGCACAAGCTTCGTCTGCTTCCTTCCTGTCCTTTGTGTTTCGTCGACAAATCATATCTGTATTCCCTTATCTACTCTCACAGGCGCCACGCTCAAAATCTTCTCATCTTTCTTGTCACACAGTTTCCCTACGGGAATACCACTTTGCAGCCGTAAATTGGCTCTCCACTGCTGACTGGCGAAAGCTTGCTTCCTGACTGGAAATTAAATAATCCGGCAGATCGAGTTATCTCACGCGAGACTTCCTGAGATGGGGCCGATTAACTGCGGTAGACATCGCCGAGACTTCGTCCCCCCAACGAGGGAGATCTACTGGTCGATAAACGACTCACTTGACTCCAATCGACCGCAATGAGTTTGGAAATCCTTGATCTCCATCTTCATGCCCAATTCCGTCACTCCCTTGCCTCATCTCCGTAGTATTTTCTTTTCCCATGGCGCATTTTTCACTGCCATTCCCAAACCGTTGGAGAAGCTAGGACATGGCCCGGCATAGCATAGTGTAGTACACTAGCAGTTCCTCGTCCGCCTGCCTCAACTCCAATCTTTCACTCCACCGGAACACGCTCCCCACATTGCAATTTCTCGTATTCCGTTGCACTAAGCAGAGACTAAAAAGTAACCCATCAAGGTTCCATAGGTCCATCGATGGTGGTCCATTCCATGGTGCTCGGGCGGCTATCCTTTTCAAGCGCCTCGCAGGGAATCACTACATGGGAGGGTACTTGACTTTCTCCGACAAGGTAGGCCCCTGCGTGGGTTGAAGCGGAATGAAAGGGTGAGGCTGGGGAAGTTATTCCCAAATTGTACAGCATAGCCGAACAACAGGAACGGCGATCAGGAAAGAGGACTCCTTCCGCATCGCATCGCTCCGGTCGCCGTCGCCATTACTGCTGTTGCCGCTGTCCTCATTGTCGCCGTCGCTGCCGCGCTTCCGTATAGATCCGACTACTGTGTTCAGGTTGTGAGCGACTCGTCCACCATGTACCGAAGCACTGCACTACGAGTCACTCGATAACCACTGGACAGACGGTCTTAGTTTCACGCCCTCCTTCCTGCCTCACGTAACTAGTAGCAGGGACAGGGACATGACTTCCATCTAGAGAGCCACTGCGGTGGTCAAGACCAGACCGGCTTTGACGCTCAAAAGAAGACAGATAAAGAAAAGAAACAAAGGTTGCCCAGCTACAGCATTCGCAGCTCGCTTCGCCCTTTCAGTTCCAGGTCCCTCATCCTCAACCCCGGTTCTTGTACTGGTCCTTGTCCATGTCGCCTACGGTGCCGGGCGCGACGGCACTGCTGCGGTAAGTGCACGCTCCGGCCCGAGGAGAACCAGCCAACAGGGTCAAGTTGCGAAAGTCTCATGTTCCACTGTGCAATCGTACAACCCTTTACTCAAACTCAGACCCTGGCCTGTGTTCTGCCTAGTCTGCATCTGGCTGCTTCAGGGAACGCAAGGTCGGTTCGGTTTGTTGAGTGAAACAAAAGGTTGAACTGACTGGGCTTGTTTCAATCGAGGTTAGGTGAGGGCAAATTGCCGGCCTGGTCGTGCTGGATCGGGACCAGGCAGGGACTGCAAGTGAGTGAGTGTGTAAATGGATGATGTGATGTGGATCGCAGAGTACCGCACGATCGTCATGATGTAGTCCCGATCCTTCATGTCAGTGGCCCGGTGAGCTGCACATACATACCCTCGACCAGACTGAAGCGGAGTGGTCAAGTAGCGTTGGAGGGCTGTTTGGGTTGGGAACCTGAAGCCGAATGGAGAGAGACATGGAAATAAGATGGGTACCTCTAGGTGACCCGGCCATGTGTTCGATCATGAAGCTTTCGCTTTTGCTGTACCACATGTGTTACAAAGGCAATTAGAGGCCTTTAGAGTGCGGCGTGCGCATGATCGGGGGGAGTGTCTCCTTGCATTTGGGTAGAAAATCTGCCGAAATCCGCCAGCAGACCAAGTCGAGAAGCCGGATGAGGAACAAAAAAAAAAAAAAAAAAAAAAAAAAAAAAAAAAAAAAAAAAAAAAAAAAAAAAACGTAATACAGCTGAAGCCTTCCAGCTCATCTTATTACCATCAAACAATCTCCACGGTGAAACCACCACCAGAGCTTCTCAACGAGTCGATCTGCTTCAAGAGGGAAGGAGCTGGACGAACTAAAAGCAGGCTGACATTCGCCCCTTCCATGCCCTCCTCCTCTGGTGTTCTGAGACTACCAAGGCGGGTCCTTACCTCCCGTTGACTAATAAGCGCACTGACCACCCCATTGTCCATCAAACCCTTCACGCCTTTCTCTGCAAAGCAAGCCTCATACCTTATGCCAGGCAACATACCTTAATTTCACCACTAAAAGAAGGGGCCAGGAAACTCACATGTGACCGCTTCGAAGCGCGAGTCTCAGCCGGGGCGGCGGCAGCGGAGAGTGAGTCATGCAGGTAGTGCAGTGTAGCACGAGAAGAGACAGGAACACCTTTTATTGTTACACATTTCACCGATATACTCAGACCGGTACACATACTGGACAGGAGTCCAACTTCAGATACAATCCAGGTTTATGTCAAGTTTTAGGTCCGAGAGAAGTAAAGGAAGTGAGAAAAGTGGTCTCGCCTGTGAAAAATGAACGGATTTGGACCTTGTTCCGGGATTTAGTCAAGTTACAAGCTACAAACAGCATGGGCGTGGACCTTCGGGCCGTTTGATAGTTTTGCCTGGTTGCCTTTGGTACCCAGCTGCGCGGTCTGGCAAGATATATTACCGTCCGTCCGTTCGCCCGTCCTTTCATTGACCAGGACAGATAGCTAGCTAGCTAGCTAGCCATGGACAAGCCCGGACAGCAAGACAAGGATAAGCAACAAAACACTGCTACTACATACTTGAATGCCCTGGCTCGAACTGGGAGCGGGAATGCGGACAACAAAAACAATGGAGTACCGCGTGGTTGGTTCCTGGGGTCGTGTCGGCCTTTAGATTTCAGACTCCATTCCAGACTCCGCACCTACATATGTACGTCAGCCATATCACCACCATTGCTACATACAAGCGTAATGTAATCCGAAATCCCGGGCTCTGGTTGTTGTGTATATATGCGTCCGGGGATAACAAACTTTCCATGGAGTCAGACGACGACGGTGAGAGCTGCTATAATCAACACACTCTCACACACACACACACAAAAAGCGCAGATATGTAGGGTGGAGATTCAAGATCAAAACAAGAAAGGTAAGGAAGGGGAGTGAATGAGATGAAACAAGAATAAGCTTCTGACACGTGCGAACCATGCATTTGGGTATCTCATCCCAGTATGTAGCAGGCTGAACACGTGTGTTAGTGGTATGGTATGTTGCCCCCCCCCCCCTCTTTTCACGGTGCCATCGCGATGAGGCTGCGCTGACCGCTGTGCCGAATGGTTATATCCACCGCAACGGATGATTATGGTGTGATCGTCCATTGGTAGGTGGGCTTAACGTCGTTGATTTCTGCGAATACCGCGGTGACCACATCTCTTCTTCAATCCTCTCCGTGTACAAATATATAGACTAGGTGAAGATGACACGCGTTGCACTAGTGTAACCACCTACCTAGGTATCGTTCGGTTCGTTGGTTCTTTCTACATTTGGAATCATTCTTAGCGTAGTCCCTTCGCTTCCTTCCCCTCACACTTTTTACTGTAACAGGCGTACTGACTGGAGTTGGGGGGGGCCAGGCGAGACTGAATCGAACTGAACCAACAGACCATAACTGCAACCGTGACCATGATCATAGCCGTCTGGGACAGCGAGAACACTCGAAAATATACACACAAAGCACCGCCACGATCAAGCCCAAAAAGTCGGTGATTGAACTTATGCAATACAACGTTGCATACATGCGTCTTTTGGTGGCGGGCTACTTACTGTGCAGTACGGTGTTGGTGTTGGTGTTGGTGTTGCCGCCAACTTGCTGCCAACCGCAGCATTGATGTTACACAAAACCATAACCGCGGGACAGATACTCCTTTGTTGTCTTATCAACTGTCCCTTCTTCTTCTTCTTTCTGAAGTCGGAGTAGTCCAAGTTCGCAAGAGCCTTTCGAGATCGGGAGATATGTTGGTTCTCCTTTGGCAGAAAGAAGGTTTCTTGAAATGAGAAACATACTAGAAAGCAATGGAAAACAACTGAAAACAACAGATGAAAACTGATGCCGTTGACATCATTTCCATTGGCCATCATGTACCACACGCTTGGCAACGAGAAGCATAAACCCGATGCCTCACCTGCCAATCCTGCGTCTCTTTTAGGGAGCAGCGGCCCGTTATGGCGGCTCACTAAGGTTCAAGGAGGCAAGTGAGATGTCATGTGCTTCAACATGAGTAAGCACCTGGATCAGAGCGAAACCAGACAGCATAATTTTTAATCGATAAGTGTCGTAGGCTTGAATACCCGTGAAGAAGGATAACGAGTGAGGGCCTATGGAGAATGCGCGAAGAGCACGAGACAAAAGATGAAGTATTCCTGATGTAAATGTTCTAATCTCAAGTTATTTTCTTCTTATCCAAGCGACAGATGTGCTAGACAGCCAGGATCAGTAGGTCGCCGCCGTTCACTCCTGAACTGCTTCAAAAGGTGAACTCTATCTTCTTGCCATTTTTGCTTGCCCAAAACTTGCCATATCCATAGCTGTCTACCTAATATAACTGAGCTACCTGTCTAAATAAAGTAAACTTCATCACCCATTACACATATCCCTCCTACTATAGCATTCTCGGTACCCTGCCACGGTCCTTTCCTATCACTGCTTTTGTAGTGCCATATCATACCCTGATATAGGCTGATGTTCAATAGTTCTGCTCACATCTCGTGAGGCCCGGTCCTTGACGACGCTTCCTGCTTGCCTACAAAATCCCTCTGAGTCGTCCCATAGCTTTTGTTTCCAATCCAAACGAAAATTCGGTATCGTGTCCCATCACCGGAACCAGTTTCCGTCTCATTGCCATTGATGTGCACTATATCTTTGGCTCTCCTTCAAACACCATTCTGACTGGAGACTCATCTTTATCATGCACATTTTAGCTTGTATCTTGCCTCACCCAGTCATGGAGTAGAGCACCGCGCCGAACATATTTCATGTGTCTCGACGGCCTGTCACACTTCACAGGCCACTCACTTCCTCACAAACCTCAACAATCCAAAGCGTCAATTGTTACCCACACTTATGTCATCCCGTTCGTCGGTTGGCACCACCCAAGATCAGAGCAGCTTAACCCTGGGAGTAAATAAGATGGATGTTCCTGCGGACTGCAAATGGCATGTATATTTGTCCAAGACATGACGCTGTTCAGGGCATTGGGTCATATTGTATTGTTTTGCGTGGCGTGGCCCTTGCATATAGGCATTGTAATTGAGGGAGAAAAGGTTGTTCGAGGAAGGAGACCATGGATATATTTGCAGTAACGACCAAACAGTGGACAATTCTTGAAAGTAGGTATAGTGTGCGTACAGGCTTCGTTGAGATGTGGTGGCTCAAGTGATCAGCTCAAGCTCAGAGAGCGAAGAGCCTCTGGAGCAGCTCGAGGTCCTTGGCTTCCATTTGCATGAGAAAGTTGCCGAATCCCGGAATGATTTGCTTGTAGACATTGATGACCTGCGTGAAGGAACAGCCAAGTTAGACCAAATCAGATCATGGGAATTCTCGGGTTGAAACTTACGTTCTGGAAGGCTTCATGCAACTCAAGCAAAACGGGCTTCTGCAGGCTAAGTTCCTGGTAGTTGGCAATTGTGCTGAAGTAATGCAGTAGAACGCTCTCCATAGCCTGGGGGTTGCGAGTAACCATCTCAGTGAAGCCACGCAGCGCTGTGGCTTTCTCTTCAGAAGGATCAACATCGTCCATTGTGTCGAGGAACTCCTCAGCGAAATTGCCAAGGTGTGGGGCCACAAGTTCGGCGTTGTCAAGTCCTAACCTACCCAAGGCAATAGCGGCATTTTCGCTGACACCTCCGGGTACCCTGGGGTTGGAGAGGATGTCAACACATCGTTGAATGAGCTGGGGCACGAATGGCGCCATGCCTGCCTTGTACTGAAGAGCAATCTCGCCGACACTCCAGCAGGCATTGTTGACTACGCTGAAGCTGTTGTCGACCTCCTCGTCCAGAATAGTGTCCATGTCCAAGCGCTTGATAACAACCGGCATGATGTTGGGCAGGAATGGCTTGAGTTGTTCAAAGACGTACTTGGCACAATCGCCGAGAAGAGCGTATGCCGATTGCTGAATGGCATCGGATTGATCCCCCATGCACAGAGCCATCAGCTCAAAAAAGGTTGGCTGGACGTTGGCAACAAGCTTGGAAGCCTTGTCGTTGTCTAGGGCCTGGATGATGGCACTGAGAAGATCGAGGCTGGTGACCAGGAAATCCTCATCAGGTTGATCAAGATCGGTGTTGGTCTTGGCCTTCATGGCCTGCTCCAGGTTTTGATGAATAATTCGAATACACCTACCGAAAATAGGCTCGGCGTAAGGGGTGAAGGCATCGCCAAGGGCCATAGCGACGTAGGAAAGGCACTCGAGCAAGGGGAAAAGCTCCCGAGACTCATCACCCACCTTCTGCCACCTATCCAGTAGGACTGGCATCAACTGGTTGCTAAGCTCAGGCCTAGCCAGGACGGGGCCGATGTGCTCAGCCAGCGTCTGAACGCAGTCGTAGAGAACCCACATATTCTTATCCTTGTACTTGCCGAAGCACCGGATGTATTGCTGGATGATGGGTCCGCAGTAAGGCTCGAGCGCCTTGCCTGCCTTCTCTTCTAGGTTTGCCATGGCAGAGGCACCAGCCTCCTGAACGTTCTTGTTCTTGTCAAGCATCTTCTTGAGAATTCCGTCCATCATAGGCAGGAAATATCTCTCCTTTTGTGCCTGGTCCACAAGGCTGACCGCCCACGCAGAGTATCGGCCAAGGGTCCAGCAGGTAATCTGGCGAACCACCGGCTCCTCGTCGTCGAGGAGACTAACAAGATAAGGCACCAATTCTGGAAGGTGGGGAACGACCACGTCCATGCAGCCCTCAGCAACAGCGCCAAGGGCGAGAACAGCCGCTTCTCTGTAAGACCAATCCGCGTGCTTGAGGTTGCTCTGCAAATATGGTAGAATAGAAGTGAAGACTGGTCCGCCAAAGTCGCGAGCAAATACATCAAGTGCCGCCGCTGAGCACTTGCGGAGAGTCCACTTCTCATCGGGATTCTCATCTCCCTCGGATTCGCTGTCGTCAATTTCGCCATCTTCCAAGTCGTCGTCGTCTTCCTCCATGCTTGCAACCTTCTCGAAAGCGTTTCCGTTCTTCGCCATATCAGCCGCGGTGTTTCCGTTAGCAGCACGGGTCAGCTTCTTCTTGGCGAACTGTGGCTTGATATCCTCCTCCCTATCTTCTTCATCCTCATCATCCGAAGCACCTCCAAGTATGGCAATATCCTCGGGACTGTAGACCATGCACTCCAAAAGTACGGGGATGATGTCTGTGATGTACGGTTCCAGGGCCCGCCACAGGTTATCGTGCTCTCCAACAGTCAGCCAGAACTCGGCAGCCTCAGTGGCAAGATCCTCGTCGTCGCCCTTTTGTTGAGCGATGATGTACTTGGCCAGGCCTTCGATATGTGGCAGAAGCTTGTCCGGACGAGTTTCCACCAGGTTCACAAAAGCACGGCAAACCTGTTTTCGGACATCGATTGAGGGGTCTTCAGCCAGAGCAAAGAGGTGCTGTAGAAGGTCATCTATCGAGTTCAGCATGGCCTGCGACTTCCTAGGGGTGAACACATTGATGGCTGTGAGAGCATGGGCGCGAACTTTGGGCACCGCGCTCCTGGTTGCCTGAATAAGCTTTGGAAGGAGGAAGTTGATAGGCCTTTGGCCGTTGTGTTCCCTTTCCAGCATCTTCGCATTGTCTTCGCAGATCTTTGCCATGGCAGCCATAGCTCCCTCTTGCGCCTCGGGCGTTACCTGACCAGACTCATTGGTCAACGTCTTGAGCAACTCGGGCAGAAACTCGGGCCAGCCGTAGATTCCTCCCTTGTTGATCAGCTCAGTCGCAAGAGTGCCTGCATGACTGCGGATCTGTGAGTTCTTATCCTGGAGCCCCAAGGGGACAGCCAACTTGACAAGAGCCAAGCTCTGTTCTGGAATCTTGTTGTAGTTGTTCTTGATGTTGTTCTTCAGCATCAGAGCGGCGGCACAGCGCACAACATGCCAATCTGCAGCGGTCGCTGGAAACTCCTGGGGTGGTTCCGAGCTCGAGAAGATCAGGGCCAAGTAGTTGTTGATATCGGGTGAAGCTTTCGCTTGGTTAAGCATCTGGTTGATAAATACAAGTCAGAATCTCTGCCTTGTGGCAATGCTCGATCACAGACCGGGTAACTAGATGGTGCCGAGGGGCATTAACTCACGATTTCAGCCTGCTTCTGGGCGGCCTTATTGAAGGCGCTCAGGGAATCCTTCAGACATTGTGCCAGAGTCTTCAGGTTCTCTCCACTCGGTTGCCAAGCCATGGTGATAATTGGGGTTGAAGTGACACAGGCGCGTAACGTCGGCGACGTGTCGTGTGGTGGCGGCGGCGGCGGCGGCGGCGGCGGTTGGTGGGTTCTCGAACTTTGATATCTCGTAGCTGACGAGAACTAGGAAGATGGTGTCGGGCCGATACCGGTGAACTGCTGAAGAGTCGAACGCAAGATTGGGAGGCACAAAGAAAATAAATAAAAAAATGGCCGACTCGAATGAACTCTCTGACAGTGCAAGTTCAGTTGTGAGAGAGGCGCCGGGTCACCACAGCGCGGCCTTCAAGGCGGAGATACTCTTTAGGGTTCGTTTAGTTAAAGCTGGTCATGGGTGGTCGCATCTGGCAGGCCGACGGGTAGGAAGAGCTGCAGACAAGAATCGGCAGTTTGTCCTCGGGAAGGTAGCAGGGTGTTGTTTCGTTGATGAAAGAGATACCCAGAAGCAATTGCCAGTGGTGGTAGGTCGACATCGATGGTGGTCGAGGGTGGGCGGCGGGCAAGGCTCGGGCAGGGCAATGTTAATGTGGGGTGCAAAGTGGGCCTTGGCTGGCCTCTATTTTTTTGCTGTACCGTCAAGTGCAAGTGGTCGAGGGGAAGGGAACGGAAACTTGTTGAAGACAAGTGGAGGTGCCCCTGCCCTGCACATCTGCACTGGCACTTGTGCGATGCCAAGCCTGCTCGCCTACCTAGGAGATGCGGGCCTGTCAAAAAATGTGGCAGGTGTGGTCAGTGGTCTTCAGGTGCTAGCTCTGCGTGGGCGGATGTAGCTTCTGTCCAAGAGCGGGGCCGGGGCCACCTCCCACGCTCGATGAGGTCGTCGTCTCCCGCTCTGTATCTCATGTATGGCGGCCACCCGCCCGCTTGATGGTTGCACAAAACTCCTTCTGATAATGCTATGCTTCCTGCTACCTACGTATGCACGTACGCGCCTTGAAATGGATGGCACAGTTACAGCAGCAACTCATTAATGCCCAAAGGAAATCGAACAGCAAATGGCACCGGGGTCATTCATTCAAGAGGAGTCATCGGCAGAGCTTCTGGCGTCGCAGTCAATGAGACAGACGCCCGGCCCTTTGAACCTCGACCAAGGGCCTGGCCGAGACTTTGATACTTTTGGGTTCGTCCCATTTCCCAGTTTGTGAACCACCCTACCTATCAGGTCATATTTGGTTGAGGAAAAGCTGGGTTTTTTTATGCGTTGTAAGGATGGGATGGTAGTAAGGGTAAGGTATCCTCTCTCGCATGTGGCCTCTGTTTTTAGTTTAAGAGCCTGCTTGATGCTCTTCCATATCTTCAGTTGGGACTGAGTTTCTAGACCGCTTCCCATCATTTGGGAATTGGATGGCGAGTTTTCCTCGTCACTTCTTTCTCTCCTTCTTGCTGTACAGACCGCATGATGTCCATCCAGCACAGGCGGGGTACCAATCGTCCTTTTTAGACCTACCAGACACATGGAACTTAGATGTCGCCAAAAGGTCCACGACAGTGTTGCTGTGCAACAGACGACTGAGATCTGCCAAACCTGCCAGGTCAGGCTTGTGAGCCGATCTATCCCGCGGCCGTGTTGATGTGCCAAAGATGAAACTGCAGATAGCACCCTTTGCCTCATCATAACCAGGGCTTTGGGGTTCAGAACATTTCCGTCAATTCTCTCAAGGTTAATCGCCTTCGGCCATGCCCCGTCGGGATATGGTGCCAATCCATATTGCTACCAATACCCGACATGTATCAAGCAGGTAACCGAACACGAATGACAGTTCCATGGCCTTCTTGGGGCATGGATTCGTGGGAAATGACACGCCTTTGTGGCACGTTCAAAAAAAAAGGCGAGTAGGTTAGGCAAGCTCAAACTAAGCGTTTGCAGAAACTCGTTGAGAAGGAAACTGCCGGAATCCCCTTGGCCAAAAGGCCGAGGTGGTTGTGTGCAACAGCTTGTGCCCATCAACAGTAGCAAAAAAATGTAGTTGGGAGGGGTTCTTTTGTCAACGTTCGAGGCTCAGGACTGGACTCCATTGGGCGTCGCGTTGGCAGACTCGAGTTTGGACAGGACAAGCTCGGCTACCTGTTTGAAAGCTTCCATCTCCTCTCCAACAGTCCCGCCAAGGCCGGCACTGGCAAAGCTCACCGAGTTGCCCACATAGGTAGGCAGTTGCGTCCTCCTTGTGATCAGCTTTGCCAGTCGGGTGGTAAACTCCAACGTCGGCTCAACCGTACAAAGAGGAGTTGACAAAGGCTGTGTCGGGTTGTATCTCTAGACCAAGATTAGTCACTATAAAGTGTATCAAACAGGCGATAGACTCACATCGGGCAGTGCATAAACAAATGACCCCAATGGAGTGGGTGATGTAGCCTCTTCGGCCGAAGCAGTCGTGAGGAAGAGCACAACGGCTTTGGACTTGGCTGTCAATTGAATGTAGATGCGCGTGTCCATGGATCGCGGTAGAGGAAGCGAGAGCTGGATAGGGGCATCCATAATGTCCTGATGTCCGTGGTGATCTCAAAATGTATCGAGGAGTTCAAGGACAATTTGCAAATCTGAAATGACGGTTTGCTTTGTTCCTGGGACTGGACTGCGAATGAAAGAGCTGGTCGGCTTCGAGATCGATAGAGGTTCGTCCAGGTTGATGTTCAACTTGCGAGCAATGGCAAGGAACAGGCGGGACGGGAGTGAGGAAGACAGATGGAGTTTGGTATCGACGGGTGTTGGACGTTGGAAGTGAATGGAAACCATTCATGTCCGCGGCTGGTGAGATTAGGCCCGGACAGCGTGCCGGACCTGAAGCAGGTGCAATAGCGAGAAATTTACAGCGGATGGCCCCTGCAGTTTCCCGTGCAATTGCCGCCTCCGGATTTCGTAGCGCCATCGGGCATGCATGAGGGGAACTGCTCCTTCCATTTCACCTTTACGACGATAATGAAAATTGATGAACACACATTGGATTGATTTGGTGAGAACGCCGTAGAATGTTTGTTATTTTGATTTCCCTCCTCACTTTATTGTTTTCATAAAACCTCCAAACATTGATGTGGACAAACCACGGCAGATGGAGGACAACATGGATCAATGAACCCGCTCATAACCGGCCCGGCAGTGAGAGGAGACGACCGTTGCCGACCTCCGCGCCGAGACTCTTCAACTAGGCAAAAGACGCGGCTCCGATACTGGCCGCCCAGATCCACAACACCCAACGTTGACTACGCGTCCCCTCGCACTGATACTTGTAACTACATACTTAGTATCTCTTCGTCATATCACTTTTGACGACAGGACACACAACACTTGAGAGGAACAGTTGTCTTTTGAGCCCCGCCCTCGTCCCTCCAAAAGACGAAGACGCTTCAAGACTGCAACCCATTTATAAACCACAGAAGGATCCATCCCGATAGAGAAGCTTGAGATGGAGGAGGGCGAGCAGCAGTGGAAAGGTGTCAAGAGTGCCATTGAAGACCCGGAGGAGGCAAGAGTCATATATTGTGCACTCGACTCATTTGTGTCAGTAGCCCCTATCACTCCTGCTTTACCTCTCTCTGCCTTTGAAACCCGTCCAGACCCTCGCAACTCATGGATTCTGCTTGTTTTTGTTCCCGAAAAAAAGGAAAAGTCATTCTCGGCTTCCGTCATTCGGCGACATGCATGGTGATGGCCGGTCATCACGCCCGGCAGATCCGGTTTTGTTCACCCTAGTTCAAGCTCTTCAAACATGCATTTTCCCTATCACTGACTGAGGAGTAGCCAATATGCCCGGATAGCACACTTCAACTGCACTCACTTGAGGAGGCAGTCCTTTTATGCTCTTCCAGAGGCTCACTGGAAGATGCTAGCAGCGCCACCTTTCAACTATCTGGACACTCTGGACAAGGTTGACAATGCCATCGAGTCCAACGCTGAACTAGCACGCGCCATAGTCCGCGTAGGTCTGGTCAACTTCCAACCACAGGACGTCACGCAGGGTAGCGAACCTACGATCCCTCCCCGATGGAGGGGCTGCGCGAAACGCTTGGATATCGACAAAGCCCGTAGTACTCTCAGGCAGTTCTACCGAGACTGGTCCGCCGAGGGCAAATCTGAGCGTGAAATATGTTTTGGCCCTGTTTTCCGCGCCCTAGAAGCACAAAAGGAGTCAAGGCCAAAGGACGCGTCGCCCATGAGGGTGCTTGTGCCCGGGGCAGGGCTGGGCCGCCTTGTCTTTGAGCTCTGCGCCAAAGGGCACGTCGCTGAAGGCAATGAGATATCCTACCATCAGCTGCTCGCCTCATCTTATATCCTGAACTGTGTTGAAAAGCCAGGGCAACACACCATTTACCCCTGGATTCACACTTTCTCTAACCATTCGACACGAGATAACCACCTGCGGAAGTACGCCATCCCAGATGTGCATTGTGCAAACGAGCTCACACGGTTAGAAGAGGAGGGAGTTGCCATTGGAGAAATGAGCATGACGGCTGCTGATTTCCTGTGTCTTTACGCTGAAGACTACCAAGCCGAAGCCTGGGATGCGGTGGCTTGCGTCTTCTTCCTCGACACCGCTCCGAACTTGATTCGGTATCTGGAAACCATCTTTTATTGTCTAAAACCTGGCGGCCTGCTTATCAACCACGGTCCGTTGCTCTGGCACTTTGAGAACAATGCGCCTGGAGGACACGGGCATGACGACGATGACGGCGATTATGATACCACCGGAATTGCGGACCCTGGCAGCTTTGAACTCTCTGATGACGAGGTGATGGCGCTGGTCACCAAAGTCGGGTTTGAAATCGTCTCGCGCGAGACCGGCATTGAATCCCCCTATCTTTTGGACCAGGAGTCTATGTTACAAACAGTGTATAAGGCGAGCTCATGGGTGGCCCGCAAACCACACACTACGGCATAGGACCGGAGTCACCTCTCATGACTTTACAACCAAACATGGGCTGTCACCGCGAGACTTACACATGTGACATATTTACATAGCATGGGCTATAGTGGCTCTTTAACCAAAGGACGAAAGAGGAGTGTTACAACATATACCCACACAGCATATCTACCTCTCGAATCTTTCTACATGAACTCCCTTTCTCTACAACAAAGCTCCAATGCACCAAACTCACAACTTCGCGCTCTCCACATTCAACTGCCCCTTCGCCCACATCGCACCACCATCAATCGCAATCGTCGCCCCATTCACGTGCGCACCCGCCCTACTCGCCAAATACACCACCACGCCCGCAATATCCTCCGGCCGACCAAGCCTCTTCATCGGGTTCGCCGCCGCGATGCTCTCCTTCCCGCCGCTCATATCCAACAGCCCATTGCTCATCTTCGTCGGAAAGAAGCCCGGGCAAATGCTGTTCACAGTAATACCCCTCGGTCCCAGCTCCACCGCCAGATTCCTCCCCAAATGAATGACCGCCGCCTTGGAAGCACTATACCCATACGTCCCTTGCTTACCAATCGTCCCAATACCCAACCCCGCCACCGAAGCCGTGATGATGACGCGGCTCGGGTCCTCCACGCTCGCCTTCTTCTGCAAAAGGGGCGCAAACTCCCGGATGGTGTTGAACACGCCCCGGACGTTCAGGTCCATGACCTTGGTAAAGGCCGAATCGGGATGCTCGTCAAAGGGCGCGCCCCAGGTGGCGCCGGCGTTGGCTAGCAGGATGTCGACGTGGTCAGTGTGCTTGGCGACTTCGGAGACGAGGTGCTGAACGCCTGATAAGGTGGCGGCGTCGGCGGGGATGGAGATGGCCTTGGCGCCCGGGGCGAGACCGGGGAGGGCGTTGAGGGTCTTGACGGCGCTGTCGCAGGCGGAGGCTTTGCGGGAGGAGATGAAGACTTTGGAGGCGCCGGCTTGGAGAAGGCTATAGGGGTGGGCGGGATCAATCAGTTAAACGTTTTGTGGGACTTTTGAGTGGATGAGTTATGGTTTGGGGAGTTGGTCGGGCAAGGAGAGACTTGTAAGAAGACTATAGTTGTAAAGTAACTAGAGGAACAACATGGAAGTTGTAATTTGATGTTGGTTATGAAGTTTAAAACTGAAAATATCTTACGCAGAAGCAGCATTCAGACCCAATCCTCTCGAACCGCCCGTCACGACAGCAACCTTGCCCTTGACAGAGAAGAGGGAAGGGAAATCATTAAGCTGAGCGTCCGCCATTGTGTATGTTGTCTCTTTCTTTCGTTCAATAGGTAAAAAACCAGAGAACCTAAAGAATACTCAAAAATGATAACTTTTGGAGAGAAAAAAAGAGGTCAATAAGTTGATGTCACATATAATGTTTGAATTGAAGATCTAAAACCCGTACGTGGTGCCCTGGAACGGGACGTGGGTCGCTTTTTGACATCGGACAGTTTACCCCCTGTACTACTTGGTGTGCGGGGGAGAGACAGCTCGGTAGTGAGAGCCGAGGCTCTGGGGCCCCGCACTATGTTCACGCAGTAGATCGCCTCGCTTCGCTTCCACGTTATTTTCTTCGGTGACGACTACCTATCGGGAATCGGCACCTTCGTCGTCTTCGCCAGCTCCAAGTATTGGGTTTGGAGAAAAACATCATCTTTGAGTCTACGGTGAGAATGTGGCTGAAGTAGGTTAAGGTTTGATTTCGGTCTAATGAAGAAGAAAAAAAAAAAAAAAAAAAAAAAAACCATTCATAATGTAATGTATTGACAGCAGATTCGTCCTTGGTAGGCACAGAATCGGAAGACGGAAGAGTACAAGTTTCACAGTGCACTGCTAATCCCAACTCCAATTGTGTATTGCGAACGAGATCGGGTTTGTGGAATAGCTGTCGTCTACACTCATATCCTGCCAGCTTAGTCCGTTTATAAAGTTCCCATATCGTAGGGCTATTAACCGTGCGACACCCCAGTTACACTTGTTCTTGTCCAAAGAAGGACCAAAATGATCATTAAGTCTAAACGTACGCTAGATAGATCACTACCGCCACTTAAATTGAGCGTTATCCGTGCAACTCACCGTAATGATACAACCACTCAACAACAATCAAGCCTGGAGAGGAATTGCTCGCTCCGGCGCATGTTCCGGGTGGTGTGCAGGACTGCCAGCATCGTTGTTGGCCGGTTGCTCGGCTTGATCTTCTTGCTGCTGGATCCCTTGCTCGTTGGCGGCGGCGGCGGCTACTGCTGCTGCTGCTGCTTCTGCCGCTGCCGCTGCCGCAGCTTCTTCCCTTTCTCTCCGCTCACGCTCAGCACGCTCATGTGCTTCGAGCTGTGCAATATGCCTCTCAGCCACCCCAGGAGCGATACTGGCCAGAAACAAGAGGCCAGCTCTTTCAATGCGGCGGAAGAAATTGACCAAGTGGACGGCCCCAGCATTGTCGATATCTCGGCGCTCGTGTAATCCGACAAGACCCACGCCAGGCTCACCATTCGCGCCCGCAGGTGGGGGTGCTTGAGGTTGCGGAACATGCTGGCGTCGCTGCTGATTCGGGTCAGCCATATGAAGTAGTCCATCAAGATGTTGTCTAATCGGCCCAAGAGCTTGGTGGGCAAATCGATTCAGGAAACCCGCGTTCATGACGAGGACGCCAGCGGCCAGGGCCGCCATGGTAAATACTCGAGTCCAAGAAGAGTCGTTAGACGTAAACCACCATATGAAGAAGATCAACCTAATGACCAGCCATATATGAGGCCACGCTGCAGCAACCAATGCGGCGGCTCCGACGGCATTGTTTGGATGTCCTATTCCATGTCCAACAGCTCGATGGTCGATCCTGATCCTCACCTGCACTGGTTGGTGTTGCCCTTGTGGTCTCTGTGGCTGGTTCTGGACTGGCGGTGCCGTGTGTAATGGAGGATAGTTGAGCGCGGCTGGTTGAACAACTCCGGGGTATAACAAGGGTGGCTGCGGGAGGGTGAAGGCATGATGGCTCTGGAACGTTCCTGGTGTGGCGTACAGCTCCGATCCGTTCTTGACAAGAAGACCTCTTGGGCCAGTCGGAGAGGAAAGAATATACACCTCCGCTTGTTCTCTCTGCGGCTGGGACTGTGGGTGAGACACCGTAGCTGCTCCGTTCGTTGGATCAGAGGTTGATATCCCGGCTGCAGATCCGGTCATATGTTCATAGATGTTTCGAATCTGTTCATCTGTAGCTGATGCCACTGCTGAAGGAGCCGAATTGCGCAAAGCGTCAATCCGGGCTTGCGTCCGCTGTACGTCAGCACGCCAATCGTTCTGTGATGAGGCGTCTTGCTGCGTTATCCTCCGCTCCCTAAGAACATTTTGGCTTAAAATCGTTCCGGGTTGAGAGGAGGAAGTAGGGCCAGACGGGTGGTGGTTGGAAGTTCTGACCACGAGATGAAGAGGCTGTTGGTCGCCTGTGCGAAGCTGTTGACATGGCGCATTTATCAGCCCATGTTCCCCCAATCTGTGTGCCATTGACGAAGGTGTGCTTACCTTGTCTTCACCAAAGACATCTAGTAAGGTATCACTCTCGCGGGCGAGCAATCGGCCTTGGTGGATGATGCGTTGCTCATCGTGAGCCGGGTGCATCGTAAGAACATCGCGGATCTTGTCCTTTAGTTGCCCGACCGTCGTTGTAGCTGGGAGGCCTTGAAAGTCAAGGTCATCGGGGACGCCTTCGGATGGGGAGACAAAGTGAATATTAACGAGCAGAGGAGCGTCCTCCCCGGTGGTTTCTGGCGCTGTAGGCAAAGACGCTGCCGGCTCTCGGTCATTGGCGGCCATCCTGACTGTCAACGAACTCCTGGCGGGTGGCGATTGGCTCGGATCGGTCGTCTAAGCCAGAAGTATGTAGGGATCGATTGCTTCTTGGAGTCGCTTACGGCTTGATGCGCCTCTTCAGTGTAGCTACCTCTAGGTCAACAGGCAACTAGGTTGACTCGGAGATTACAGCAAGCGGATTCAGAAGGCTGGTGTACGATTCTTGCGAAAACAGAGCGCGGCAATCAGACGAATCACGGTTGTGTAAAGAAATGGGAGGAGCTATATTAATTCGAAGCGTGATTGTAGATGCTAGATTTGTTCTAGATGGGATGACAGTGGTGTTGAGGTGCGAGTTGTGGTCTAGGTTGGTTGTCCAGGGCAGTCCCTAGAATAAATTCCACGTTGTCATTCAGACCGCGAGCATGGAGAGTCTGGGCAGCCAAGGATGTGGTACCTGGCCCCACGTTGAAAGAGGTTGCAGCAGTGTACGAGAAATGGGCTCTCTCTGCAGCATGACCTGGCGTGCTGAAGATATTTTCTTGTACGCGTGCTGCGGAGCCATGCACCTGGCAGGCACTCAGGTACTCGCTATCCCAGCTTCCCCACAAGCACGCAGAACTTTCCATCGTCTTCACTGCCCTGCGTCCGTCTCTCTGCACTGGCACCCTACGGGTAGGTAGGTAGGTACCTATGTAGGTATTAAAGGAACACGGGGTATTCTGGCGAGAATTTGGGGTCGAGGTACCCAAGAAGATGCGATCGAGGGACACCGAGGTGAAGCCGTGAGGGGAGATCCGGGGACGGGAAGCTACAAGGTGAGTAAAAGAGGGTGAGGAGACTCGAAACGGTACGGTACAGTACCTTCGTTTCATTACAGGCAGTGTCATGCCCGGGCGGCCGCTGTGCGTCTGGCACGCTTGCGTCATGACGCCCGGGAAAGAGCTTGCTACGATAGAAAACTTGATGGGATGGAAGGAGATCGCGTGCACATCGCCTCGTTCCATGGCCGTATTTATAGTACCATCTTCGTTGCCTTTCATCTCAGGTCTGGACATGTCGTCTGCCCCGTTCACGCATCAACCACCAACATCCCGACACGAGCCGACCACCATATCTCGGTTGGACCCCATCCTTATCCCGGCTAACATTGCGCTCTATCAAAAGTCGAAAGACGGCAACCTGTACGGAGACCCGGGGAAACAGGGGAGGAGATACGGGGTAGGCGCACCATCGCCACCACTCGGACGGCTTCCTCACTGCCCAAGTCCAGATTTCGTTGAATCGCTCTAGGTCAGACGGGCACGACTGGGTCAGATTTTACCCCAACAAATAGCACAAAACACCTAACTATCGGGGCCTCTGCTACGACGTTGGCGCATACCAAGGCAGGACACGCGCAGTATCTAGTAGGGCTAGTCTAGAGTAGCCGAATTGTTGCCGCGGACAGCGACGCTTTGATACGTCTGCGGTCGTGGTGTTTCCACTCGACTCTTTCACAAGCCAGAACATCGTCGACTCTAGCGGCGCCCATAGGTTGTAGGGAAACCCCTAGTAGCAGCCCCAGCGAGCCCCTTCTGCCCCTATTCGGTCAAGGCGGGAGCCCTGAAGGGCGTTCGGGCAACTTGTCCCGGCAGGGGTTGCAGTGCATTGTTGCGGACCCGCTAATTAACGGAAGCGACTTTTTCACTCGTTTCCCACTTTGCCTGTGGCTCTCGCTCTACTAGCCCTGGCTTCTCCGTGTGGTCCCAGCCAACGCTGTCGGCCCTGTCGCTCGTGAAAGACCGTCTTCCTCCCCCCAAGATGCCCTCTTTCCAGCTGGGCCCGGTCTCCGCTCGAGTCCGGGTTTCCACGCTTTCTTCGACAGCTTTCGGGCGGTGTCCGACTTCCACGCGCTTCACCAGACTCGAAATCCCGTTCTCTGCGTCGACACGGGCGCCCCCAGCCCACCAAATGTTTGGCCGACGCTTCTTTTCCAACCACATGCCAAAGCGGCCCAGGATGCAGTGGCACCCCATACCCATTGGCCTGGGCATCGGCCTTCTAGGTGTCATGCAGTTCTACAAAGTCTACACGAGAGACCGGGACGAAAAACGCCAGGCTGCCGTCGAAGGCTCCGAGCCTGGCCAAGCCGGCAAGCCCAAGAAGCGGCGCCGCATCCGGCCGGACGGCCCTTGGTACGTTGACCACGCCGGCATGCTCAATTTTTTTGAGGCGCCATGAGCTAACCACCCGGTGTTTAGGCAGGTTCAGGTCATGTCGACTCTTCCTCTCAAGGCCATGTCCCGTCTTTGGGGCAAGTTCAACGAATTGACCATCCCCTACTATCTCAGAGCTCCCGGTTTCCGTCTATATGCATACTTCTTTGGTGTCAAGTGAGTGAGACCCGGACTCCTCCCTTCCTCTCTCTGTCTTGTGCTGACACGTGCGCTCCAGTCTCGATGAAGTCGAAGAACAAGACCTCCACAAGTTCCCCAACCTCGCCGCTTTCTTCTACCGCACTCTCAAGCCCGGTGTCCGCCCCGTGGATCCCAACCACAATGCCCTGGTTTCGCCGTCCGATGGTCGAATACTCCAGTTTGGGCGAATAGAAGGAGGCGATATCGAACAGGTCAAGGGTATGACTTATACTATCGATGCGCTCCTCGGCCAGAACTCTCCAACTCCCAGCATCTCCGGTACGACGCTCCTCGACGAAAGCACCAAGGCGAAATCGGTCAATGGAGACTTTGAGGGCGACGAGGAATTGGTCAAGAAGGACGAAGAATTTGCCCGCGTCAACGGTATCTCTTACACTCTCCCGGATCTTCTCTCTGGTTCCAAGAAGCATGACAAGCTGTTCAAGCCCAAGGATGAGTCTGTCACCCCTTCCAAGACTTCCGAGACTGAGGTGAGCGCCGAGCTTGCGCTTGGTGAGAAGCCCTGGTACGATGTTCTCTCGGGTGGCGAGCGCCACACTCTCTACTATGCTGTCATCTATCTGGCTCCTGGCGACTATCATCGGTTCCACTCCCCCACGGAGTGGGTTGTCGAGCGCAGACGTCACTTTGCCGGCGAGCTCTTCAGCGTGTCCCCTTACCTACAGCGCACCCTCCCTGGTCTCTTCACCCTGAACGAGCGTGTCGTCCTCCTCGGCAGATGGCGTTGGGGCTTCTTCGGCTACGTCCCTGTCGGTGCGACCAATGTCGGCTCTATCAAGATCAACTTCGATCGCGAACTTCGGACCAACAGCTTGACGACCGATACCGCTGCTGATCGGGCTGCGGAGCTTGCGGCGGCCAAGGGCGAGCCTTACCTGGGATATGCTGAGGCCACCTACGAAGCTGCCAGCCCGGTCCTGAAGGGTCATGCTTTGCGCAGAGGTGAGGAGATGGGTGGCTTCCAGCTTGGCAGCACCATCGTTCTTGTCTTTGAGGCGCCCGTTGCCGAGCACGACGAGTCCGGCAAGGTCATCAAGGGATGGACCTGGGACGTCGAGAAGGGGCGGAAGATCAAGATGGGACAGACCTTGGGTCATGTTGCGCTCTAATTTGAGCACATGAAAGAAACCTTGGCACAGTGGGAGGCGTTTGAAGGGACGGAATGATTGAAAACTAGACAAGACTAAGGTGGTGTATTCGGGTTTCGGATCTCTTCATGTATCCTTTGACTTTATGCTCTTTATATGATACCCCTTCCCGGGTAGCAATATCTACGTTGCACTCTGTTTCTCATTTTCTTTTCATAGGTATATATCTTTCAAGATTGAAAGCATCAAAAAAGTTTTCATAGCATGTGGTTGGGATCTGAAAAGGGCAGATGGATGGACGGGCGCTTGTACATAGCTGGGAAAACGAAATATCTGTACCAAACATACACCTCGTGCAACTGTATCTTCAAGGACATCATGATGATGCTGCGTTCTATCACATAGAGCTGTCTTCCTATAAATGTGAATAAACATGGGCAATACTGTAGAATGAGATAAGTCCACACCCCAACCCCTACCTTGGGAGACATATGTAGCCGCTAGTATTTTTAGTCTTATTTCCCCGCGCTCTCTCTTCGTTTCTAGGAATTACTTTGGACTCTCAAAATCAGAGATCCCGACGTTTCATCTCATCCCTCCAAAGTTCAGACCAGGGCCAGGATCAGGACATCGGCTGTCCGGCTCACAACATGGCACGTGCTTATCAGTTCAACTCTTCTGCTACAGCAGACTTCTAGAGACGAACTGGAAATGCTCTCAACTGATGGATGCTTGATAAAAAGGGGGGGTATTCATCATCTCTACTCTAGTCTATTTCTAGTGTAGCAGCATAGCAGGTCCATCGACCATACCGTGACCATATGAAATCGCTTCGCTTCTTATTTAACAAACACAAACACACAAAACTTCCCTTCCTTACTAAGGTCATCCCCCCCCTTAAGCAGAACCAAAGGTCTTGAACTTCTCCTCCACGGGGCCGAAAGCCTTCTCACCCGCATCACCAGTCTTGCCACCAAAGACAAGCTGAGCGTTGAGCTTCCAGCTCTCGGGGATAGACCACGTCTCGGCGACCTTGGCGTCGATCAGAGGGTTGTAGTGCTGCAGGTTGGCGCCGAGACCCTCGGCCTCGAGAGCGACCCAGAGAGTGTGCTGGAGCATGGCGTCCGACTGCACGGCCCAGACGGGGAAGCGGTCGGCGTAGACGGCGAACTGCTCTTGCATGCCCTTGACGACGGTCTCGTCCTCGAAGAAAAGGATCTGTTTTGGTAACAAGGTGTTAGTTGGGGATGATTGGAAGGAAAGGGGAATGAAGCACATCATCACAAAAGCGGGAGAAAAGAGGGGAGGGGGGGGGGGGGGAAAGAGGGACAGGGGGAGGATAACATACAGTACCAGCAGCACCCTTGAACATGGCCATCTTGCCAGCCGTGCTAGCGAAGCTGTCCTCCGGAACGATAGCCTTGAGGGTCTCGGTGGTGATGTCCCAGAGCTTCTCGTGCTCGGCGCCGAGGAGAACAACGACACGGTTGCTCTGAGAGTTGAAGGACGAGGGAACGTGCTGAAGAGCCTCCTTGACGATCTCGTTGATGCGCTCGGTGGTCAAAGAACCGAGGTCCTTGGAGAGAGGGTAGTAGGTGCGGCGCTGCTTGATGAGGTCAAGGACCGCGTTGGCAGAGATCTGAGTGGAAGACATCTTGGATGATGATGATGATGATGATGTGTGGATGTTGCTTGTGAAAGTAACGGAAGGTTTGTTGGTGATGTTTGTAGTCGAACGAGAGATCGCGGTGAAGGGAGAAAGCGTCTTGGGCTTGGGAGTCGTGCTTCTTATGAGCCCAGAGGAGATGGTGGCTCGAAATCTACTAGGGGCGAAGTGTCGCATAAGGACTGATAGGATCTAGTGTCAACCCTTGCGATCAAGGGTGGAAACTGTGTTGACGGCGGTTGTTCCCTTGTCTCGACGTGGATGGCAACGGAGGAAAGGGCGGGGCTTCTGGACGTGGCAGGTTATGGTACGATATGGGTCCTTGTCAACTATTTTTTCGAATTTCTTCGACGTTCCGGATCTCGGTGGGGTGAGCGGTATGGAGTATGGAGCACTCGAGGGATGATAAAGGAAGGGGTTGAGGTTGTCACTGAAGGTATTCACGAAAGTCCTTTTGGAGGTTTATATCTGTGTCGCTCTGAGCGATCTGGATACTGAGCGTGGAGTAGAAAGAAGCCTCCATCACCACCGTAGACCACACGATGCCCATCGTCACGAATTGGCTTACTAAGAGCACTCATCTCTGGCTACATTACGGATGCCTTCATCTGAGACTCTGCCGCAAAGCGAAGAGGGCAGAGATGAAACAAGCATCGTGAATCGCCATCTGTACCTCCTACCCCACACAGCGACGACCGTGGGGCCGGTCAGAAAGAGGGGCTATTCTTGTGTGTAGCGTCCGGCCGACCAGGGGTGGAGGGGGTTGTTGTTGGATTTTCAAGAGATTTCCAAAAGCTCTGTCAGCCATTAACAATACAACCGGAGACCAAGGTTGACCTACTACCCAATGAGACGACGAGAAGGTTCTATATCGGGGATATTTTGCTCTATGCAGTTCGTACCGCCGGAAGCCGAAAGTTTCGTCCATGAGGCTCTGCGGTTATGCGCTCTTACCGCCTTGAGACGCACAGACATGCTGTCAAACCGCGCCTCGTGTGATGACGAAGGCTGACAAAGCCGACCTTATCATTTTATTAAAAGCTTAGACAAGCAGAACACGAAAACGGGATGCTCCCGGAGAGCGGTCAACTCTCAAGGTTGGGGAGGAAGCTCGGAGGGATCATAAACAGCCCAGTCTCATATGTCTCCGTCTTTCAAAAACACCAACGAAAACGATGATAAAGCATTGTGAAGTCTTGACAAACAGCACGGCCCATAACTTTTAGGTTCCGAGACCTTTACTGTCGCAAAGCCCACTCTGGACTCAATCAAGATTAATAACATCCATTTTTAGCCGGCTGGGCTCTTCTTCATCCAGGAAGCTTTCACTCGGACTGTTCATGCATTCTTCTCCTTGTCCATGCAGTTTGCGCTTTCATCATCGGAACATGCAGCCTTCTAATATACTTTCTACACAGTATCGGTAGCGTAGGTATGCGAGTCTTAAAAAGGTTCTCTACCTTTGCTCAACAAGTCGTCGACGCTGTATGTAAAAACATGTTGTTGAGTGGTGAAATTCAAACGTGATATGGCGGGATCATCATGGACTATTACGTCACGGGTGTTGCCTTCCACATTACCATTGCCTTCCAACGGCGAGTTGAAGGTTGTGGCGGTGCGCAGTCTGATTGGTCAATTCGTGTCTGTGACTTATGTATGAACAGTTGATATCGCGAAGCGGTGCTTTGGCCTGGTGTTTTCGATCACTTTGAGGTGCCTTATCCAAGAGGTTTGGGCAAAGGTGATGACGGCCTCGGGGCCAGAAGAACGCAGAGCATTGAGGTCCTCGGCGAGGGTAATTATTTACCAAAGTACTCACTTTTGAGAATATAGTATAACTACACGTCAACGTACATCATCTAACCGAGCCCGAAGAAATCTGCGTAATGCATGAACAAACAACTTCGCTCAACAAAAAGTTGTGATGAATGATGATACACTTCGAAAAGCTAATCCATACGTGCAAAAACAAAAAGTTGAAAAGGAAAAAAAAAAAACTGAAAAAGCAATACTTTGACAAAAACCCGCCCATGCACGCCGGAAAATGCTGGTGTTGTTTTATGGCTTCACCCTTGAACGCCGTTTCTAGTCTACCCCGCCTGCCCTTGCCTTCATTTGATATGTATGCTTTTTTCATTTGGCCTGCGAGGCCCCTGCGATGTATTTTCCTTCTCTTCCCAGTTCCCAATACGACAAAGTGTGTCGCAACATTCAAGAGGCCCAAAAAGATGTTATCGTCGTGAAACAGTGAAACCGATCACCACGTCTCGGCAATGTATTGTCCAACCTCCCTCTTCAGTTCCCAGAATTGCTTTGCTTCATCGTGCTCGAGGTTGCCCTTCTCCATCGCGACCTCGATCAGCGCCTGCTCGACACCTTCGCCCATGCCCTTGGAGCTACCGCAGACGAACACCCTGCCGTCGACTGAGTTGATGATATACCAGACCAAGTCCGCCTGGGCCTTGACCTCTTCCTGGACATAACGCCCCTGACCACGACGACTTTCCACCACACGTTTGACCTCATCCTCATGGACACCCCACTCGCCGCTGTACAGCTCATCGACTAGCGAGTCACGGCAACCCTGGAGGACCCAGACCTTGTTGGCGCAGTTGGCGGTCTTGAGGCGGCGCTGGACGAAACCTCTAAAAGGAGCAATGCCGACACCAGCACCGATAAGTAGCATGGGGCCGTCAGAGACGAACTGCTTGGCAAGAGGGTTGGCCATCAAACCCTTGAACATGGGGATGTAAACCTCAATGTCCTTCTCGCCTCTTTCTTGTGCCTCAATATACTTGAGGGCTTGGCGCTGGAAGAAACCAGAACCGACTCCGTTGCGCGAGCCTGTCCTCCAGTCGGAAGAAGTATGGACGGTGACAGCAATCTCAATCAGTCGATGTTGCTTGCCATCGCGTCTCAAGAAGGACTCGTGCGGGTCGTTAGACAAGGAGTAGAAGCGGGGCATCAGAGGCTGTAGAACCGAGAGGAGCAAATCGAGAGGCGGCCTGGCGCTGGGGAAGGCATGGAGGAGCTGGGCAACGGTGATGTGCGGGCCGGTGCGGAAGTCACAGAAGACTCCCTGGCCTTCCGCCGAGCAGAGGAAGAACAGAATCTTGCGCTCGTCCTCATTGGTCGCAAACTCGGCTAGAATACGGAGAAGCTGTTTTGTGGGCGGGTAGGACTGGATGTCAGAGCACCATGTCAGGAGGTCTCTCCGTGTCGTAACAAGCTCACGGGCCTGATCTTCACCCCATACGGTGGGCCATCTGCCCTTGGTTGTCCTTAGGAGAACGGGCTTGTCGCGGAGGAAACGGGGAACGAGGAGAAGGTCGAGCAGCTCCTCTACCATGGACTCTTCGTTAGGAGCCGAGACACCGATGGCTCCGCCGACCTTGAAATCGACGCCCTCATCCTCCGGGTAGTTTGTGACATCGATGTCGAAGTGAAATGTACGCTTCTCGGCGCCTTGGCCTGTCAACTCACGAGCGGTGTGAATGCGGGCGGGGAAGACATGGTGAGGCGGGTGAGGTTGGACAAAGGAGGGTGGCTGTATCTTGGTATCAAGGTCCTCCAAAGCCAGCTTTTGTACAGACTTTTCGAGATCGGTTGTGGCGGATGTCGTGTTACCATCTGTGTTGAGAGCCGCAGTGGACTCTGTAGGAGACGGCACATTGGACGGACGGCGAAGGGGCTGCAGAAAGGCAGTCTGTTCGGGAAGGTCGAGTATGTTGTTTAGGACAGTCGGAACTTCTTCGATCTCGAGGTTGAGAGCGCGGTATGCGTCGTTGTCGGGAAACTTAACCCGCTCATACTCGATGCCCTGCTTCTTGACCCTCTTGCCATCGGAAGTGAGGCAGCAACCACCACCGCAACACCTCTGGACCAATTGGGTTGTGGTCTCGCCCGTGATACGTTGGATGTCAGCGGGAGACTTGACAATAAGGACAGTGGATGCACGGCGGCGGCGCGGCTGCTCCATGTCGTCAGATTGGCGGGGATCCTCGCTTTCAGAGTGTTCGGAGGACTCCGAGTATGTGAGGGACGGGGCCATGGAGGGCAGTTGAGGCTCTTCGGGTATGCTGTTTGCCGAGTGTTGGGCCATTATACGATCAACTTGTGCCGCCATTGTTGCGTTGGTTGGCTGTCTATAAGTACAGGATGTGCTTCGTCGGGATTCGCTCCTGTAGAGGAGGTAGGGTGTTTTTGTTGGCAGGTGCGAATGATAACAACAATAGGAGTTGGAAGTGGTGATGGTGGCCGGCCCGAACGGCGAAGGGTGAATTTCCAAGGTTGCGATCTGATTAGATTACAATAGGCGAATCAGTATGAGAACCGCCGGAGATAAAAATGCTCGTGCACCGGCAAAAAGTCTGGGGCAAGTCTGCGGATCGAAAGCAAGTGGAAAGGGAGGCCAAAACTCGAAGACTCGGGATGGGACCGGAAGGCAAGAGGGAGGAGGTACGTGCGAAAGGCGAATTACCAAAGAAAAATATATAGGTATGCCAGGAAGAACAGCCGGCAAACAAAGGGCGAGCTCGGTCTGAAGGAAGGGAGGAAGAGAGGAAGCAGGAGCAGAGCGTCTCTAGTGTAGGGTGCAAAACGGACGGGAAATCGCGATCTTTGATTATTTGCATGTCATAATGCAGGGCTGCCGGAGCACCGGACTGAAGTCACTGCACTCGCTGGACCATGCGCCGTGTACCTAGCACAGTACGTACGGGGAAAGCGTTAACGGCTCTGGGTCCGTCGGCTTCGGCGGGCTGGCCCACCAATCTCTCGCCGATATGGCGACAGAAGGGTCCCCGCACATCCATGGTGTTTGCAAACGAGCAGTCCTTCCGCCTTTCTCCGTGCTCGCCCGGCGCAACAAAGGGGAACTGATGTTCCATGGCCCAGTTGCAACATCTCGGTGTGTAGTTGCCCTGACAGGATTATCAGTTCGCCCAAACCTTCTCGTTTTCCAGAGAAAAGTTTGAAACTAAATTTCGCAGACTGGACGACATCATTAGGCTTATCAAGGTTACATCCCACGGATCATAGTAGGCAATCCCCCACGAACCTGGCTGTAATGCACAGGGGGTTGTGCAAACCGAGCAGCCGGGCAAGACGCCTTGCACTCAGCTTGTTGAGGCTACGTACCCATCCCATGTGCTGACGACACCCTATAGGAACCTCAATTTTCCCTATTCAATGCAGAATCGCATCGAGCCTGGAAAGGTTAGTCCGGGAGAACTGTCAGACTGTCAGGTGATTCTGACCCCTTTCACATCCCATTTTACTCGCGGTTTTATCAAGATCCTCATTCCCCCTTTTATGAATTAATCTTGGGATCGGTCCATGACTGGTGACTCTGTGGTCCTACCGTCTGTCCGAAGAAAAGTCTCAGGTGACCGTAATTTTCTATGGTGTCGGGTCATACCCTCCTCGACTTGAGTACAAGGCCTTGCTTGCAAGATGATTGCTCGCAAGACCGATTTCCCAGCGAGCTCCCCAGATGGTGCAACGCTTCTCTTTTCAGGAATTTGCCAGAGGACACAAAGAGGCCGATGGGCGTTTCCGAGTTTTGTTCCTTATCATGAGAGTCAACCGTGAATGACAAGAGGTGATGTCGCCACTTTTTCCCATAATCATGCCGAACAAGCCAAGACGAAGCGTCGGGCAAGTTTGACAAGCCCAGACAGGGCTCGACCTGGATCATACTAATTCTTCCCCAGAGCTGCCAAGGACACCAGCGACCACCCTAGCTTTGGGCGCCAGACACATGCACGTGTTCATTTCTGGATAGCGGATTGCGATCCTCTTGTTATCGGCATCTTGAAGGACTCTCACACGTCGTTTCTCGATTTCGAATGTTCTTGGAAGTTTCCTCTTGCAGCATTACCGAGTTGCCGACTCAGTGCGACTCCATGCTTCCATGCATATTATGGTACACTACCACCTGAGAGAGTACCGCTTAAGTCCAATCAAATCAACGAAGCCTACGCACACAGACTGGACTTCATCAACGATCAGTACCAACCGATTCCTTCACGTCCATTTTCTTTTGCAGTCCTGACAAGAAACGCATGAAGCCCCCCCTTTGGATTTTGGAACCGTCACTCAAAAGGCGCTAGCAACCTCGGGACCTCCGAGTTCGGTGTTTTCCAACAGCTCTCTAGCACTGCAGTCACGGTGCACTACTACCACTGTAGCACCGTCTGCTGCCCGCAACGAGCGGGCCGACAACCTCACACTGTACAATCCCCAAGCGGGCGGCCACTGCAGGGGGATCTAGACTGATCACAACCGCAAATATTTATCAATCAGCTCCACTGCTCATGATATCTCCACCATCTTGTTTCATCAGCCAATCATCTCTCGCAGCTATCCACAAAAGGTGGATATAATCCGAGTCAAGTGGATGTCGGGCATTGCTGGCGGCCTGGCCTGTTGAGATTAGATGATCAGATAATTCGAGATAACGAAAGAAATAACCGAGGCTCTAGAAGTCTGGAGCTGGGGGAACCTCACAATCTCAACAAGTTGTTCTGATTTAGGAAATGAGATAGTTGTCGGGAAAGATGGGAATGATAGGATGGGATACTGAATAAACGGTTGAATCTGGTTATCTGAGGCAAGAAACAAGATACTAATGTTATGTATATCCCAATTCAGCACATTACTCTGCAACAAGAAGACAGGCAGTCCTCGCCAAGCTTCAATGTTCATTCGATAAGTTCAAGCTGAACCCCAAGATGACAAGTTCGATCCGGGGAAGTGACACTGACAGTGGCGCCAAAAGTATACAGGACAAGTTTCCAACATCTTCAAAGCAGGATGTATCCGATGACAAGAACGAGGACGGCTTCGTGGTGTACACGTACGCCCTCTTCCCTTATCGTGTCGTTGGTTTCATAATGTCGTACACTCGTACTAGCAGCCATCAAGCAATATAACTGCTACCAAGAACTAGGAAGAACACGGTGCGTGCACTTCTAGACTACCCTTCCAAACCATATTCGTTAGTCACATATCAACCATGTTGCTATTTTCCTAGTGGTTTGTTGTATGGGCATACCTACCGCGACAATGTCAACCGATCATTTATTCTTTCTCTACTTTATTCTCTCATTCAGCAAAGAGCACTACCTATCTTAGCGCCGGTACTGTATGTATCCTGGTACCATACTTGGAAGAAGAGACAGGACTAGTACATAGTCTAGACCACTGGCTGAAATCCGAGCCGTTTGCTTTGTAACCAGTCTCTCTCTCACTGCAGGCGTAGCGCCTCTAGAAGGTGTAACAAACGATATGAAACAAATCATGGCATGAAACAAACAAAATACAAGCTAAACTACGGAAAACGATCTTCCTCAGTCACTGCACCCCGGAAAATCATTGCGTGATTAACAACCGCTAAAGAGACATGGAAAGACCGCTGCGGAGTTCATGTCAAGCATGTCTCCATTGTCCACCATGCTGTCCCGATCCCGATCCCGGTCCCGGCCAACCGGCTCACTAATGTTAAGTGGGACATGGAACATGATCATCGATCGGTGTGCTTCCCCTTGCGAAATTTTGGCGGTTTTTGGGTACGGTGTATACCAGTTCCTACTTTGGTCAGGCCATTCATTGCCAGTGTTGGACTACACTCTTGATATATAGCGCATACAAGGAACTGCTCCTTCCTTTCGTCGTGATATGCATCCGCAAACCAAGTTACATACCTGCTAGGTATCTTCTAATGTATATTGGTTGAGCTCCCAAGGAGTGTACCACTCAATACACGATCAAAAAGCACTCGTTCGCTTATCGATCCATGTAGACACATTCATCACCCAATCCATCCCAGATGCTTCGGCTTTTGGCCCAGGAATATAGCTGTCCCTAGTCGGAAAGGAAATACAAAAGACAATCGAAGAGATAACGTATAGTAAGTTGTATTTCGCTCACGAAATATCCATGTTTCCCTTAGACATTGACTAAGAGTCGACCATGAAAAGGTGAAAACATTCAGTCCGCTGCGTGTGTCGGTCTTGGCGCGCTTTCAGAGAAGTACAATCTGGTTAAGCAGAGCGCGCGGAAGAAAACAGTAACAAATGAACGTAAAAAAAAACCAAAACTATCGAGATGAGCCAGCTATCCATGGGCAAATTAAAAGAAAATTTGAAACCAGAGACAACGTAGATAATGGGTTACCATCCTGCCGGTCCTCAGACAGGTTCTAGGTATCCAAAGATGGTTCTTCTCCAGTTCTCCTTACGCAAATAAGTATGTCTACACGGTACTCTTGCAAAATACTAGGCATTCCGTAACACTCCAGCCTGGTATCGAGAACCTAGACAATGGCACGCTATCTCTCGACTGAGCTTCTCGATATATGTCTGTTATGATCGCTAGTCATGCCTCGGTTTTTTGCGTTCCAGCAAGCGTCGACCGCCGGTATGACTATGTCCTTGAAGTCTTCCGGGGTGACTCGGCCGATAAAGAAAACCTTGTAGTTGTGCTCGATCGTCATAAGCTTCGAGTAGTTGACTCGGGACTCCATCGCCAGAGTCTCGTGGGGCGAATCCAGCATTTCAATCTGTATTGGCTCGAACCCCAGCTGGGGTTCTCCTTCCAGACTCTGGGGCTGGTTTCCGACATGGTAGGCGATGCCATGTTGCCTTGGCTTTACGCCCGTTTTGCTGCATCCTCTTTTGAGATATGTCAGAATAGGTCTGGGCTGTGTTAGTATGCCACAATATTGAGACTACGAGAGAAACCTGGTGACTTACACACAGGTACAGTTGCCTTCGTCGTTTCCGACGACGATGTAACGCCGGATGGACGAGTAGAACAGGTGGGTTGGGTCCTGTGCAAGATCCCTCTCTATTTCACATGAAAGCTCGTTGAGATTGACACCAGCGGGCTCTGGCCACAAAATCTTGAATACCTGGAAACAGAATCAAAAACAAGCCCACACTTGCAGAAAAAAAGAACATATGATGTACTTACCGACCCTGGGTTGAATTTTGAGGAAGGGTGGACTTTGTAGCCTGCCCCAGGCTATCAGCGAAGAGTCGGTGGATATGGCACGTTTGGTTGAGGTACTTACGTTGGTCAAGCGGACCAGATATTGATCTGTTCGTCGACACGCTGTAATCGATAGCACCGGAAGGAAGGCCTAGAGGTAGTAGATACCCAGCCCTTAGTGCAAGGTTCATTGGCAGCATGGTCTGCTGACTGTTCGAATCTTCGTATGCTGTAGCTGATGAAGGGTCCGGAAAAAAGACGCCAGCATTGGAACCATTTCCAAATTTGAGCCCATTACTGCTTTCGGCACTCTCTGCGGAGGGCGACGTAACCTGACCTGTTGCTGTAACTTGGTATTAGTGTAGCTCTCAAAGCTTTGGAGTGTCACATACATTCAGGGTGTTGGCCGCCATCTCCGTTCCAACGACTGCTGGTCTGAGAACCTCCGTTGGTCTGCGTTTGTAAATCGTCCTCCGTTTCGAAAAACGGTTCGTCATCGTCCGGTTCGGCCGAGATCTTTCCCAAATTCGATGAATAACCTCTGTTGTTCGTTTTGCCTTTCCCGTTACCCCTGTCTCTGTTCCCATCACCAGGGCCTCTATTCTTGTATCTCGTTCCTGGTTCTGAAGGCTTTCCCTTGTCACTGAAAGTCGGTGTGTGATCTTGAGAAGCTGGTCCTGCATGGCTTTGGAGTTGATCTACACTGGCATTAGGTAGGAACAAGTTGAGCGTGGGTAGACTTGGTTTGGACTCACCTCCACTGTAGCCCGGTTGTGATCTATGTGTGTAATTTCCCGTACTGTAGGTCTGACTAAAGCCCGCCTGACTAAGAAACTGTTCCTGCAATGCAGGATTCGAATATGTGGAGGTTAGGTAACCTGGGCTTGGAAATAGCGTGGCCTGATATTGTTGGTGCGGAAAAGGTTGGGGCTGGTAAACTGTGTTGGGATACGGTTGTTGCTGAGGATATCGATATGCAGGAATTTGGTATGTCTGGATGTGATATGCTGAATTCTGGTCATAGACTTGCTGGTGTCCGATGCTTG